CCAAATCTAGTTCCTTAAATATGTTCTTCACTTCCATTGTGTATTCATAAGGGATTTGGTTTAGATTATACCTGATTAGTCCAGGGGTTTTTCCTATTTTCTTCAGTTTGAGCTTGAGTTTTACTATAAGCAGCTGATGATCAGAGCCACAACCAGCTCCAGGTCTTGTTTTTGCTTACTGTATAGAGCTTCTCCATCTTTGGCTGCAGAGAATATAATCAATCTGATTTTGGTATTGCCCATCTGGTGATGTCCATGTGTAGAGTTGGCTTTTGTGTTGCTTGAAAAGAGTGTTTGTGATGACCAGTTTGTTCTCTTGACAAAATTCTATTAGCCTTTGCCCTGCTTCATTTTGAACTCCAAGGCCAAACCTACCTGTTGTTCCTTTTATCTCTTGGCTCCCTACTATAGCATTCCAATCCCCTATAATGACAAGAACATCTTTCTTTGGTGTCAGTTCTAATAGGCTCTGTAAGTCTTCATAGAATTCGCCAATTTCAGCCTGTTTAGCATGAGTGGTTAGCGCATAAACTTGGATTACTGTGATGTTGAAAGGTCTGCCTTGTATTCATATTGAAATCATTCTATCATTTTTGAGATTGTATCCCAGTATAGCTTTTCCCACTCTTGTTGACTATGAGGGCTGCTCCATTTCTTCTACGGGATTCTTGCCCAGAATAGTAGATATGATAATCATCTGAATTGAATTTGCCCATTCCTGTCCATTTTAGTTCACTGACACCCAGGATGTCAATGTTGATTCTTGCCATCTCCCGTTTGACCACATCCTGCTTCCCAAGGTTCATAGATTTTACATTCCAGGTTCCTATGCAGTATTTTTCTTTGCAGCATTGGACTTTCCTTTCACTTCCAGGCCCGTCCGCAGCTGAGCGTCCTTTCAGCTTTGGCCCAACCACTTCATTAACTCTGAAACTACTTGTCCTTGTCCTCCGCACTTCCTCAGTAGCATGTTGGATGCCTTCTGACCTGAGGGACTCATCTTCTAGCATCATATCTTTTAACCTTTTCCCCCTGTTCATGGAGTTTTCTTGGCAAAGATACTGGAGTGGCTTGCAAGTTCCTGCTCCAGGTGGATCGCATTTATTCAGAACTTTCCACTACGACTTGTCCTTCTTGGGTGTCCCTCCACGGCATAGCCCATAGCTTCTCTGAATTACTCAGGCCCCTTTGCCACGACAAGGCAGCAATCCATGAAGGGGTATGTATGTAGCAGCCATCAATATAGCAGCTGCCAACGAAGAGATGCCATTTTAAACAAGTAAATAAGTTGATAACTACAAAGATAATGAAATTCAGAAAGAAACAGGGACAGGCTGTTTCAACACTGATATTAAAACCATGACCAGAAAATAAGAGCAACTTGCCAGCATAACTATATCCATTTCATTAAGATAGCCAAAGCTGTAAGACAAATGCTTCAGTGTTTGTGCAACAGGAACACACAAACTATAGGTCTTGAAACTCCTCACAATGTAAGAACAGTTCAGTAGCCAAAAGAAGCTTAGGAACCCTGGAATTATCATGACATAAAGTCACATTTTTGCTTTTAAATGATAATAATAATGTTCCATTAAGCCGCCTAGAGTGGTCTAATTTGATCAGATAGGCGGGATAGAAATAAAATAAATAAATAAATGAGTTCTGACTTATGGTGAACCTGTTCCAGGGTTTTCCAGGGAGAGAATACTTAGAAATGGTTTACCATTCCCTTCTTCTGTATGTTCCTTGGAACTGGGGAGTTTGCCCAAAACCATTCTGGATGGCTCTTCTCCAAGGAGGACATTGAACTCCCAACCTTTTTTATTTGACATTTGTGTAATGCCAAAAACTGCTTTCTTTATCCCACCATTTCATCCAGAGATAAAGCAAGTTGAAGGACTTGCCTATGAAACAAGAAGCCTTGAAACAAGAGACTAAACCACCAACTCCTCTCGTAGGTTCTTGAAGAAATCTCCTTTTATATTCAGAATTTAAGCCATGATTCAGCGAGAAAAGCTAGGCCTCTCAGCCAGCCCTTATCGACAGCAAGGAGCCCTAAAGGGTCGGATTAATTGGCGATTAACTGCTGTAGAGTACCCTGAGAAAAGGTGCGTTTCCTGCCACAGTTTTCATTCTTGTTTTTATATTGCTCGCAATGTAAGCCGCGCAGAGTAGATTCGTTTGAATTTAGACGGGCGGGGTAAAAGCCAGTACGTACATAAAATAAATAAATAATACAGCCTTTCTGGCGAGCCACGTTCTAAACCGCCATTAGAACTCGCACCAACAGTCGCTGCTCTCCTGACTAGCTGAGTGCGGGGCGGGCGTTGTTTCCCGCACAAGGCATGTATGGTGAAGGTCCTCAGCTAGCTGAGGAGAGTCTGGGGTTGGCCCTCCAAATCCCGCAAGGCAAATGTTGTCACCTCAATAACCCCACACAGCCACATCCTCCATCGCCATTTCCTTGCCAGCCCCGCCTTTCTTTAAGTACATTTCCTTCTTTCTGTTCACGTCCTTCAGCCGTTTTAAGCAGGCCCCTAATGGGATACGAGCGGTGAGGACATTACAGTCTGTACCTCCCTGTCGTGAAATGGTAAGGGAATCAATGGTAGTACCTCAAGGAAGGAAGGGTCCTGGCAGGAATCCTCTCCATACCCCTCCACCTCTTTGCTCTCCAAACACGCCCCTCAAACACTGAAAGCCTATCGGACGTTCCTCAAACCTCCCTACAGACCAACGGTCTCTCCCAGCTAAACGGTCAGAACACAACCGTTGCCTCCCTTCAAAAAGCGCACAAACCTTTTCTTCTGGGTTCTTATACGGTTCTCTATGCGGTTCTCGAACACCGAGAACCTTAACGTCACTTCCTCCTCTTCCACACCAACCGGCCACAGTTGTCACTGAGCCTGCGCTATCCCGTCAGACTCCCCAGCCCCATTTGCGGCACATACGGGTTCTTTGAGGCAGTTCAAGCGCAGGCGCTCTCATTGCCGGTCTTTCGCGCCCACGCCCCCCCTCTCCTGGTGGTTCTTTTTTCCTTCCTTCTCCTCCCCTCGCCCACGTGACATGAGGCGGAGACGGAAAGGGAAAGGTCGGGCGCGACGACAACGACGACAACGTCGTCAGAGGGGGAGGGGGGAAGAGCGGAAGGTCAGGGCGCCGCGGAGCGGAAGTAGGAGCCGGAGCGCGTCCGCCATTGTGGGAAAGCGAAGCCCGGATCAGGGGAGGGAAAGCGAGTTGTGTCCAGCTGGTTGCGTTCGGCGGCACCGACCAGGGAAAGGGGGTCCGGGCTGCGAAGACAATCAGCCGACGGAGGCGGGGAGAGCGGCGGCCAAAGCGGCGGCGGGAACGACGACTCGAGGAAGAGAAAGAGGAGGCCCAAGCGGAGCGGGGTGAGGGGGATTGCGGCTCCCCGTGAAGAATGTCAGCCACCAGCGTCGACCAGGTAGCGCCTTCGCCGGGCCTTGGCTTTTCTGAGCGAGGGGATGGCCCGGCCGGGCCGTCCTCGCCCTTTCGTCCCGCCCTCCTTCCGCTGGGCATAGCGGGGATCTGCGGCCGCTACATCCGAGGCCGTAGGACTCCTCCCCTGCTCCCAGGACCGCCCCCTCCGCAGGCCTCGAGGCCGCTGAGCCTCGGCCTGGGGCCTCCTCCCCGCTCAGGCTGGGAGGCGATCGTCGTGCTTCTGTTCACGGAGAGGCCCGTTTTGCCTCACGGGCTTCGGCCCTTGGCTTCTCCGAGGCTTTCCCTCGGGCTTGGCATTCGTCTCCCCCCAGCTGGCTTGTGCCGCCATCAGGTCACACTCCTTCCCCCATCCCAGCAGCTGGAGTTTGTAGCTCTGCGGGTTTTTGCACGACTCACTGCCACTCGCCTTCCTCGAAGGTATCTTTTTACACACACACACACACACACTCGCTTTGCTGCTTTATTTAATTTGCGGTGTAGTCCGTTTACAGTGGTTTTCCTCTATGCCACGTTTCCAGTTCTCTTATTTGCGTGCTGATACCTTGCCTAAATATTTTTCATTTCCTTATTTAGTCGTCATGTTTTTCATTCATAAATACTCTTCATTATTTTTCTTCCATATGGGTATTTTTCTAGTCCTGATCCTCACAAGCCTCAACCTTCAGATCTTCTCTCTTTCTCAGGCTATACATTGTTCTCAAAGAGATGGTAATGAAGGTGTTTTGGTTCAGGACAAATTGAACAAAATGTATAGGTTTATAACATGGAAGTCAGAGTCCATGTTTCCAGACTGATTACTACTACTTTAAACTTAGAAGCATCACCTTTGAAAATAACTTTCTTTTTTATTGGCCAGAGGTAGGTAAGTACAGGTTTTTCTGTATTTTGTCAGGATTGCATAATTTGAGGAAATCATTCCTGGGTCAGATTTGTTAAGCTTGGCATTGAAGTAAGGGAAAATACAAATGATATTCAATGATGGCAGTGAATAACGACATACAGTAGATACATGTGATGTTTCAGGCTCATTTTTTCTTTAGACCAATAAACTTCACACTTCTGCTTTAAGTGGCAGAAATGGACAGAGATTGTGTTTTTGGAGTGTTATATTTGGTGCTTTATACAGTTAAGAAGCATCTTTCTATTAAGTGCTGAAGAGTAGTTTTTAGTTATGCTTTTAGTCTCTAAAGAATCAGGTATTGTACAGTTTATGATTTTTAAAACTTATGTCTAATTTAACTCTTTAGGTTGCCAAACACTTCTGTGGTCTGTTTTTTGTGTGTGTGTGTGTTCTTGGATGGCAAAATATGGCAGTGACCTTTAATGCTTACAGTGATTTTGAGGTCTCAAGGAGTAACTTGTGTAGGATTCACCAAGTTAACTACTATTTTGTCATTGTCAAAAATCCCAAACAAACACCACAACAGTCTGGTTTGTTTGACACCATATTATTTGTATAAATCAAATTGGTAAACTTTGCAGTTTTTAATATCTGATTTGGTTAATTTTTTTTCTTTTTTCTTTATTACTAACAGAGACCTAAAGGACAGGGAAATAAAGGTAAGTTGGGTTGTATACTTTTTAGGTTCTCAGTCATAGAGAATACTCTATACCTAAATAATGTATTTCTGTTACAGTCATAGTTTCATACTGATATTGTAATTTCAGTAGGATGTATCAATGAAAAGATGTGAATTGCATTGTATTTCCCCCAAGGATTTTAGTAAGCTTTAATGCTGTTAATACTTTGCTCCTGCTGGCTATGATTAATCAGGTGATCAAATGACACAGCTTCTCTTTTTTGATCAGCTACCTATTTTTTTGTGTGTGAATATGTTGGTGTAGCATGTAGAATAACTTTAAAATGTTAGTGGAGCCAGTATAAGTATTGCAATGATATATTCAGGAACAATGATCTCAATAGTGTTTTCATATTGCTCAAGATATTCTGTCCCATCCCCTGGGTTAGGTGTTGGTTGGGCTAAGAGGTGAGAATAGAAGACTTCTGTTGCTCCATAAGTTATCTGAAGATCCAGGTGTTTCTCTCTTATATGTTCCCTTACTTCAGTCATAGATTTTTTCAAACAATTTTCTAAATGCACAGTTGTTCTTTCACTATATTTTTTTTTGTTCTTCCACCCAAATCGACTGAGTCTGATATATGTATTGATTATTGTCCAGACCAGTGGTTCTCAGTCTTGGGTCCTGAGATGTTCTTGGACTGAAAGTCCCAGAAGGCTTCACCACTAGCTGTGCTGTCAGGATTTCTGGGAGTTATATGTGAAGGTTCAGTGTTCATCCCTCCCCTTTGGTCAGATAAACCAGGAGTCTTTTTTAAACCCAAATCCAAACTAGTGTTTATTTCTTTATGCAGAGGTAAAGCTTCTTTAAACGGTTCATGTTGTAACTTTTCTTGCGATGCCAATGGGGCTCGCAAGGGCAACCAAAGTTCCGAGTCAAACGGGTTCAAAGATTTAATGTCCCAAGGTCCAGCAACAAAGGAGTCATAGTCCTGAACATCTGCTTCAGTCTCTCCATCTCTCAATGGTGGGGAGGTTTCATTATCCTCGTCCCCTTGCCATACCGGGTCTCTCTCACCTGCAGGTTGTCCCCATGGTCCTGGAGGTACATCATCCTCCGCGCCTCCTCGGCTTGCCATGCTCAACAACATTCTTCAGCTTCTCTCACCGCTGCTTCCTTCTCTTCCCTCAGTTGCCGCCTCCACTTTCTCATTTTGGACTCACCCCAGTAAGATGGGCGTTGGGGAAGTCCTCTCCTTCGGCGATAGTCTGCCTCCTCTCTGGGTACATTCACCCTTTCCCATTTCCCAGTCCAAGGGTCTTCCACCCAGATGAGTTCCCAGCCGCCCGCGATATTGTCGTTCTCTCTATTTATAAACACCATTCCCGCCTCTGCCATGGACCTCCCCTTTTCCTCCCTTCCCACCAATTCTCTTTCCGTTTGGGTTGCTACTGTCAGACCCCGCAGGCTTGTTTCTAGCTCCCAGGTGTCTGTCCCCTGGTGTGCTTTCCTGGGAGGTGTCGGCGGTGGAGTGGTCTGCACCTCCTTGGCGGTCTTACTTGTGGATGGCACTCCGATGAGAGCCTCTATGCTCTCATCCTGTTTATCACATTATAATCCAAGAACATCTAGGACCCAGGCTTGGGAACCACTGTTTGAGACTGAGCTCTATATCAGGGAAATATGCAGTGTGAGGATAGAGAATACCTGTATACAACACCATATATAGTGCAATTCTTGAATTAGGACTGTGTGCCTATACGGACATGGGTATATGGATCACCAGTGTCAACCCTATATTATTATAGCATAATAACCTGCAGCAGTAACTTATTCTAGCACCTCTGTTCTCCAGCAAGCAAGGCTCCTCTAAGGTGTGCAGCAGCATGAGCAAGAGTGATTCCACCCTCCTCCATGCACTCACAGCAATAGTTTGCAGCCCCTTTGGTTCTGGTCACGATGGAACTCTCAGAGAATGATGTGGAAGGAGTTTAATTAGGATTTTTATAATCCATACTTTCACTCTCAGATAAAAATAATTAAAGAGATTTTGCATCAGTTGAGTTAAGAAAAAGCCATTAAATTAATTAAATCCTCAAATTCAGTAGAAACAGACAGGACATGGGAAGTTTGTACAACTTGCAAATGCATAAAATTACTTTAAACATTGTAAGCCAGAGGGCTATGCACCTGTTGAAGTGTGAAATGCTTTTGTAAGATTACAGTGGTGCCTCGCTTGATGAGGATAATTCGTTCCATTTAAATCGTTGTTAAGCGAAATCCTCGTCAAGCGAAACGAAAAAGCCAATTGAAATGCATTGAAAACCAGTTCAATGCGTTCCAATGGGCTAAATACCTCATCATAAAGTGAAGATCCTCCATAGGGCGGCCAGTTTCCGGTGCCTGTATAGCGAGGAATCCGTCCTAAAGCACAGCGGGGAGCCATTTTGCACAGCAGGCGGCCATTTTAGAGCTGCCGATCAGCTGTTTTAAAATCGTCATCTAGCAAAAAATCGGTTTCCGAAGCAGGGAACCGATCATCGTGAAGCAAATTTTTCTTATTAGAACATCGTTTTGTGATCTCAAAAGTGATCGCAAAAGCCTCATCGTCAAGCGGTTTCGTCGTTTAACAAGGTAATTATAAACGAGGCACCACTGTATATAAAATGATCAAAGATGGGGATCTTCTGTTTACATTTGAAAAGGATGCTTAAGTGTCAATATAATAGCAACATCTTTCACTTTAAAGTACTTTTGTGTATTCTAGTCCTTGACAAGTGTTCTAATGTTCTATTGTAAAAGAAGAATTTCAGGAGTAGATTACTTTTAGTTAAACAAGGAAAGAGGTTTGTATTGGTTAAGTCTCCTGTATTCAGAACTTTATTCTTCTAGGTATAACAGTTGCTTACTTGATCATTCTTTTTTCAAGGAAAAAAAAGAGGAGAATAATTAGTATATGATCTTTTTTTTTTTAGTGAGTCAGAACTGATCCCCTTTCAAAGATTCTACCATTTGAGGAGAAACTATCATATCTCTGCTGAGACCTTAGCAATTGGATTTTGAAGTTTTCCTTGCAGTTGAAGAAAAAGTCAATGTCTTTCTCCATTAATTCATCTTTACCAATACAAACGGCTTTTCTTTGGGAATGAGTTCAGACAAATTGTGTTTCCTTGCTTTATATCTCTTTGATTGTAAATTAGTACCTGCATAAGGTTTAGGTCTTTGAAACAAAAATTGGAGGGAAAATATGGCTGACACCAGAAATTATTGGGATTCCTTTGAATATGATTTTTTTGGCTTATGGCTGCCCATCTCACTTTCTGAAACTTACATTAGGAAATGGATATTTCTCTAACATGGAAATGCTACCCCCCCCAATCCAAAAATACTCTGAGTGTGCTTCCTCCAAAAATATTCTGAGTTAAGAAAGTCTTTCCACTGTGGCTTATGATGTCTTATATGAAAAAAACAAGCAAAGGAAATATAATTATGTGCAGTTGAGAAATGTGATTAATAACATGAGGAAGATATACAGGTAGTAGCCATTGGATGGGATTATTTGATTTCATGCAAGATTGAAATGAGAATTATTCAATTTTGCTTATTTTTTAAAATTTTTAGTCTTGTAACAAAGAACAAGGCTTTAGACATCATAAGCTTATTTACTGAAACCAAAAATTGTTTAGAAGAAATCTAGTAAGCATAGTGTTTCTGTATCCTTCCTGTACAATATTAATTAGTAAATCTTAGAGGAAGTCTAGTAAACGTAGTATTTTATAGTCTTAACTTACAATATTAATTAGTAAATACCTCTTCATCCTAGTGGAAATCTGCTGCTTGTTGTAAGAAAGAGAACTTTGATTTGGAATTATGTCATTAGGTGTTGGATATTAAATTTAACCCACTTGCAGTTATGTTTGAGCTTTCTCTAGATGTTTGGGCACTTCATGCATTTTTCTGTACAAGTATGTGAGACAGAGATGTACAAAAATAAAAGCAGATATTCTTAATAGATCAGAACATTTCAAAGTTCAGCTGTGTTAGAAGCATGGTTGAACTTACCAGTGCCTCTATGTACAACTTATCTGTATATATATATTTTCAAAAGCTATCCAACGATTTGGATGCCGGTTTTGAAGTTGCATCTTGCCTAGTTTTAAATCACTTATGTCCTTTTTTATATGATGCTTGAACATGACAAACATGACAGATAAAAATCTGAACTTTATTAGATACTTCAAATCTTTAGAAGTGATTTAGTAGTTATATTCCACTGTTAAATGCTTGAGACAATGACTGTTTTTCCTTATGTAAAATTACATATGGTGTGATGGATCTGAAGGTAAGTTATTTTTAATGGTAGGCAATTGTTATTCATGCTTTTCCTATTAGTTCAATTCCCCCGAATAGGGTGTGTTTGACAGAATTTCTCAGAACATATTTTTCTTATTAATATACATATGAACATGGCCTCATGTGTCAGTTACAGCTACATGGTTTTGTGTTGGCCCAGTGAATTTGAAAAAGTAAAATGGCCTGTTCCCTGCTCAGCAACAGATAGGGCACAGGATAAAGGGGTAAACCGATATTTATTTTTCCCCTTTACGTAGCAGATTATGGTTGACTTCAGTGCACCTCTGTGGATTGAGGTTTGTCAATTCATATTTTGGAAGAATGCAGTCCTTGCTCTTTGTGGGTAAAATGCAAGCAGTGCTTAGATTGCAGAAGTTTGCAGTAGTTTTTTTTATATTGACATGGGTTGAGAGCCCTAATGTTGGCAAAACAAAAACAAGCTCAGATGTTGCACAGTTGCAGAACTAAGTCATGCCGAAGTTCTAATATCTACATATGCTTCCATTGAAAGCTGTTTTCTGTTGCTGGGAATAGTCTTAAGTGCATACAGATGATCAAAAGTAATCGATATATAGAAACTACCCACTTGTAGAGGTAGTCTGCAATAACCTGGTTGTTTTTTATAATCTGAATGTAAGTGGGACAGACTCACAGAAAAATAATTTGTGTAAAGTTTTGGGTGTGAACAGCTGTGTAGATAACATGATATTTGGTGTGGTTACTTCTGTAAAGTTAGCTGCAGATTTCATTTCCGAGGCAAGTAGTTGCTATAGATTAAGCATCCTGGTCGCTAATACTGATGTTTCAGCAGCCATTGATATACTACAGTCTTAACCACAGAGAGTTAATGTGGCTGCTTTATACATTTCTTGTTTGTTGTGTTGGTGAACTTCTTTAGTCCTGCAGGATAAATGGTTTGCTAGTCTAGCCTTTTGCATTATGAATATCCCACTGAGTATTTCTGCAGAGGTTCTGCATAATACCACTCAAGAGTACGTTTAGTTGAAGTTAGTTGATCGATGCAATTAATCTTTCTTCTTACATATGAATCCACAGAACTTTTATTCTGAGAATAAAACCAGACAAAATTGTTCTCTACTGTTTCATCAAGAGGCTCTTGAGAGGTAGCAGTAATCCAATACAAATGCAGGAACTGGTGATACCTTTACTGGACCACTAAAAAAACAACCCCAAAAACCCACAAACAGCGAGCTTTTGATGATAATTCATCTTCTTCAGGCTGTGATAAAGGTATCACCTTTCCTGCATTTGCGTTTTAAAGGCCCCATGCCTTTTCCTGATTTTTTTGCTGAGTTTGCAATCCAATTTATAATTTTGAAAGTATATTTACCTCTCAACATCTTCCTGTTCACATTTTTTTCCACAATGATAATGTAAATATATGAGATACCAACATGCAGTTCTAAGATAATGATGATGATTTTGGCACTACTTGCTTTCTTTATTCTAAGCTGTTTTCCGTGTTCTGGTTATCAGTTGTATTCTGATTTGGCAACACATCAGGTGTTGCAAGAACTAAGTAAATAGTCTTTCTAAAAATGTTCTGATTTTGGTTGCATTTCAGTTTCAGTGCAGAACGGTTCGATTCATCAAAAGGATGCTGTAAATGATGATGATTTTGAGCCATACCTAAGTAGCCAGACAAATCAGGTGAGTATTTCTGAGAACATGTTATATATGTTTGAAAGCTAACTTGTGCGGTTTAGTGTTCCATAAGAGAATTAACATGAAACTGTTTTAAGGATGCTATTAAATCATTGTAAGCTTGAAAGTATTCATTTCAAGCACTTGTAAAGCACTGATATGCTGAATGTTTGTGTGTGTGTGTGTGTGTATTTGTATGGATATATAAATTCACTTAATCTTCAAGACATTGCTTTACTTAAATTGTAAATCAGTGGTCATCTTGCAATAAATATTTCTGTTACATTTGTGTGATATTGATATGCAATTATTACTTGATAACTCACTTTTAAATTCATACAGGCTTAATGGCCCAAGTAAATAATGCACCTCATTTTGGAAATGTGTGTTGCATATTTTCTATTACTCTTAAAGTATGTGATTGGATTAGCTTTTTTTGGAGAAAGAATTAAAAGAGAGATCTTTTAGAAATCTTTTTTAGTCCGTTCATAAAATCCAGTTCTGTTCTGAAGGAGTATCTTATCCTACTGCTGTTGTTACTACCTTTTCACTTCATTCTGTGAAGGAAGTCTGCTAGATAATGGCACATAACCTTTTAATTTTATTTTAAATCATATATTGTTTAATTTGTCTTTAAATATTTAACTTAATGTGCTTTTAATTGTGTGAATTTTAATGTTCTGAGCTGCTTTGGGTCCCTTGTTGGGAGAAATGTGGCATCATCATCATCATCATTATAAACCACCAAGATACTGTAATTCTAGTTCCACAGTGGGGATTCTATGGCTAATAAATTCAGCAAGAATTTTGTATACTGATGCTGGATTCTCTACCAGAAACAGTTCTGCCATTGCTACTAGTTAGCAACTGATGGATAATTATTAATACAGTTTTAAAATTTCTCTCTGGCATTGGTCTTGAGTATTGAATGTAATTACATTCTAGAATTTAACCTCTCTGCCAATAGATGTGTGGACACTTTCTGCAATATTGCCAAGGTTTATTCTGTCATAAGCTAATAGTTTATCTTACAAGCTTTAGTAGAATCTTATTTCATCAGGGGTCTAAAGTCCTACATTTTAAATTGTTGCTTGCTAATTGCATTTGATAGAAGCCATGGTTGGAAACAGAAAGTGCTGACATAGGGAGATTCTGTCTGCCTTAAAGAATTAAAAGTAAGCAAAGCAAAGCAAAGCGTGCTGTTTATACACTACCCCATAGTACTTCAAGCACTCTCTAGGCAGTTTACAAGTTAATTATGCAGGCTACACATTGCGCCCCCCCAGCAAGCTGGGTACTCATTTTACCAACCTCAGAAAGATAGAAGGCTGAGTCAGCCTTGATCTGGCTACCTGGGATTGAACCCCAGGTTGTGACCACAGTTTTGGCTGCAGTACAGCGGTTTAACCACTGCGCCACGAGGCTCATTAAGTAAGTAAGGCACATACTCTTGAAGAATGCTGTTTTAAAAATCTAAAATATTTCTATATAGTATCTCAGCAGAGTTTCAGAATAAGGTAATTAAACTTAATAAACAAATTTGATTCTTCTGTGATGTGTGCCATACAGTTCCTATGTGACCTCCCATTTGTAGTCCTTTTGATCAGCAATTCTTAAATTCCCTATCTTTCAAAGAAGGATTTTCCCATCTTGGAGAATACGTGTTTGCAGGAAGTGCGCATTAAAAAGAAAGGTATAGCGATGTCTTCAGTGTGAGGAAGTGTTATTTCTAATTTATTGTATGCTAGCAATGTGATAGCCAGAGGTAGAATTTTTATGTATACAAACATGCATCTTTATGATTATTAGCGGTTACATTGCTCATGTTTGTACTTGAGAGTAATACAAGTCAGATGTGCTAATGACTTTTTATTGAACCAGTAGAGTTGCCTTACATTTTATCATAACTTAGATCCCTTGCTCAAGTCACCCTGTAGTTATATGCCAGGGCAACATAGTTTTATGTAAGCTTTAGAGCAGTGGTGGCGAACCTTTTTGAGCCCGAGTGCCCAGACTGAGGAAAAAAATAAAACAAACAAACAAAACCAACAACAACCCAGCAGGCAGCGGCAGCTGAAGTGATGGAGAAAGCAGGAATCCCGGGCACAGAGGTGCCTCCATACCCCAGTCCGGATCTGCCTCCAGTCGTGCCCAACCCTGCCACTATCTATAGCTCGGCCTGCGCACCACTGCCAGCACCAGTTGCTCCGGATCCTGGCCTGCCGGGGCACTAGCAGCTACCTCCTCGGGTTTGGCTGTCAGGGTAGTGATCTAGCCACTTACGGCTTGCGTGCCCACAGAGAGAACTCTGCGTGCCACCTGTGACATGCGTGCCATAGGTTTGCCATTGCTGCTTTATAGCAATAGCAAGTATTCTGATACACTGTGGCTGAAATCCTATTGCTATAAGTTACAATGCATAATACTGATGACATTAGCAGAACCTGTGATTTTCTCAGAAATTAAACACTTCTGGTTTCTCCTCTGAAGGTCCTGAGACTCCTGTGTAATCAGCTTAATCTTTTTTTGCAAAACTGGTTCTGCTGATCTAACCAGTTTTAAGCAATGTAACATACACAACAGGACTTCAGTCAGAGTCTTAAGTGTATTTATGTTTAAAACAGAAATTGCCTTTTCCCTGTAGTATTGCAGTGTAAATATTGGTGCTGATAAGTCTCCCAAATAGAACAAAACTTTTTTGCAACTGCAAAAACACATAAACTAGGATAGATAAATTAATTGCTTGAACAAGTCTGCAAAATAATAATGCCCACCAGTACATATTGATGCTTGTGGCTCATGAAAGACATATAAAACCATTCTTATCTACTTATCTAGAAGCAACATTTGTTTAATACAGCCAGTTAAATTTGTGGGTATTTCTTAGCCTGCTAATATACCACCCAGCTTGCACAAGGAACCTATTTGTAACTTAGTTACAATAGTTAGACACTTCAAGTGCAGGGTATACATCAGAGTCATTTAGCTTAGAAAAATGTTATTGTACTTGCAAGTAGACAAACAGTGCTGATCATCTGTTCAGTGTAGGAAGGAAGAAGAAAAGTGTAAGAATGAGAAGGAAGCCATTAAAAAAAGTAGGTCTAGTACGGTATCTAGAATAATTCTTAATTGGCAAGATGCTCAAGTCTAAAAGAAAAGTGTAAACACAGTCTGGTTATAATCACTTAGAAAATATAATTGTACCAATATAATTAAAATTATGCAGAAGTGGTTCAAATTGTGTGCTGTTTCCCTAATTGCTGTAACTTCAACCAATTTTTTGGGTGTGTGTATGTATGTATGTATGTCTGAACAGAAATGCATGCGCTTTAAATTGCCTGTTAAGTATGCTGCTTTGAACGTTCACTTCAGGACTAGATTTCTCTGTTTATAAAATTAACTCTGAGAAATGGAACAGCATTCGATGTCTTTAAGCATAGATCTATTCGCAACTGAACATTGTACTTGTAGCTTTAAAATCTGAATCTTAAGCTGACTTTCTGTTTTCCTGCAGAGTAATAGCTATCCACCAATGTCAGACCCATACATGCCTAGTTATTATGCTCCATCCATTGGATTTCCATACTCTCTGGGTGAAGCTGCATGGTCCACAGCAGGAGATCCCCCAATGCCATACTTGACAACTTACGGACAGATGAGCAATGGTGAACACCACTACATCCCTGATGGTGTATTTAGCCAACCTGGGGCATTAGGAAACACTCCTCCATTCCTTGGGCAGCATGGATTTAATTTTTTTCCTGGGAATGCAGATTTCTCTACATGGGGGACAAGCGGATCTCAGGGGCAATCAACTCAAAGTTCTGCCTATAGCAGCAGCTATGGCTACCCACCTAGTTCTCTTGGTAGAGCTATAGCTGATGGACAGGCTGGATTTGGCAATGACACTTTGAGCAAAGTGCCTGGCATTAGCAGCATTGAGCAAGGCATGACTGGATTGAAAATTGGAGGGGATATGACAGTTGCTGTAACAAAAACTGTTGGCTCAGCTCTGAGTAGTGCAGGTATGACAAGCATTGCAGCAAATAGCGTGCCGGCAGTTAGCAGTTCAGCACCTAAACCAACCTCATGGGCTGCCATTGCTAGAAAGCCTGCTAAGCCTCAGCCTAAACTTAAGCCTAAAGGTAATGTGGGAATTGGGGGGCCTGCTGTACCACCACCCCCTATAAAACACAACATGAACATTGGAACTTGGGATGACAAAGGGTCTGTGGTCAAAGCTCCCCCAAACCAACCAGTACTGCCTCCTCAGACTATAATTCAGCAGCCTCAGCCATTAATTCAGCCACCTCCAATGGTGCAAAGCCAACTGCCTCAGCAGCAGCCTCAGCCTCAGCAGCCACAAGGACCTCAGCAACAGGCTCCACCACATCAGCTGCAGCAGCAACAGCAGCAGCAGCAGCAACAGCAGCTGCAAAATCGCTGGGTGGCTCCTCGCAATAGGGGTGTCGGCTTCAATCAGAGCAATGGAGCTGGCAGTGAAAACTATGGTATAGGTGCTATACCAGTTAGCTCTTCACCATCTGGTGTAGAAGTACACCCAGTACTGGAGAAACTAAAGGCCATAAATAACTATAATCCCAAAGACTTTGATTGGAATCTGAAGAATGGTCGCGTGTTTATAATCAAAAGTTATTCAGAGGATGATATACATCGTTCCATTAAGTATTCTATCTGGTGTAGTACTGAACATGGTAATAAGCGCTTGGATGCTGCATACCGTTCATTGAATGGAAAAGGCCCACTCTATTTACTGTTCAGTGTGAATGGCAGTGGACACTTTTGTGGAGTGGCTGAGATGAAGTCTGTGGTGGACTACAATGCATACGCTGGAGTCTGGTCTCAGGATAAATGGAAGGGGAAGTTTGATGTTAAATGGATCTTTGTTAAAGACGTTCCGAACAACCAGCTGCGGCACATTCGCTTGGAAAACAATGACAACAAACCGGTTACCAATTCAAGGGACACTCAAGAAGTACCCCTAGAAAAAGCCAAGCAAGTGCTTAAAATAATTGCTACTTTCAAGCATACCACCTCAATCTTTGATGACTTTGCACATTATGAAAAGCGTCAAGAGGAGGAGGAAACCATGCGTAGGGTAAGTTCCAAATGTTAAAATAAGCTTTTGCTTGTTTTTTAGAGATCGCTTTTTAAAAATGGAACTCAAGTTTATCTTTTTAGCAGAAATATTTAAACTATCAAGTCAGTAGAAACAAGTTTTTATAATAAAAGTTGTTGTCTTGTAATGTACTAGGCAATAAATGTGTAACTCCATGTCTCAATACTCTTCCATATAGAAAAGAATACTTGAATTGTGTGAGTTTATGGATTATTGGTATTAGAGTTAGCAGAATGGTGAAATTCACTTCTCCTGCAGAAGAGTGGATTTGATTTAAATCATAGTTAAAAATTTTTAAATTGGATGTTCAATAATGTTTCATTATTTAGATTAAAAATCAATTTAAAAATAATTAAATTGTGGTTGATATCAATTTCATTTTTTTAAAAATCATTCATTTCATCCATCTTATACTACGGTATCAGAACCCTCTGTCCTGAATGAGTACAGCTACCCAAGGTGTGGTATGTCACTTTTTGATATCATAGTTTGCCCCCAAAAATGACATGGAGAATTTAATTGTTAAAAACGATAAGGGCAATTTAATTGTTGTTCTTCTTCTTCATGATGAGTGCGATTAACATATTTTAAAAAAGAAAACCAATGACAAAATGTAATAGATTTGCTGGGACATTTCCTGCAGGTTTTTGTCTTAAAAATTTGGGGGTGGGGTGTTATTTTTTATTTTATTTTATTTTTTGATCAGGTGCCTGAGATTTTGGGATGTTGCTGAGAACTCTTCAGGTGATCACGAGCCAAACCTTGTTGGTGCAGTTCAGAGGGTTACTGTGTTGGCTACATAATAGGTTTATTACGTTGCCTGTTTTCATTTGTGGTGCTGACACAGAGTGTAATAGTGTTTAAAGTAGTTAATGTATTGGATATTAAAGTTATACCAGGCACTCCCTTAAAGTCTTTGACTAAGAAGGGGGCAAGGCATCTGAACACCACAGTTTGTCTCATGTCCAAAGTATGGTCTTACCATCTTTGTGAAAGGTAAATAACATTTTCCAGATGACTACAATGGATAATAATAACCTATAACTTTTTCTGCAGAATTGGATGGAACTTGCAGTTACAATAGCATCTTCTTAGGGTGTGAAGGTTGCCAAATTTCATACAAAGGTTTTTTGTACTAGCTACCTTTAAGGTTTAGGACATTGTTAAAAATGAATAGGGTCACCGCCACCCCACTCCAATTTGGAACTGCTAATTCATTAGAGGGACAGGTAACAGTTTAGGCCTGGACTATCTCCCTGTCATGCATGCCTTCAGTTAGAGCTTCTGTTCATCAAGGCTGCACCATGAAGCATTTGTAAACTTCACCCATTTCAAAACACTCTTTTCTGTGTCTGGACAGAGATGGATGGCTGGGTAAGGCATTGTGGGCTAAGTGCAACCCATCAAGGCAGTTTTTGTGGCCCTTAGCCCTGCCTAGACAATAGTATAAAATCAAAATAAGGACAACCAACCATTTTAAATAATAATAATAGAAATAATATAAAGCAGGACTGATAATCTAAATGTTAAGACCAAACACTGTATTAAGATGCTGTAAGGTCCGGGAAGACTAAAAATTATTCATTCATTTGTTAGTGTTGTACCTTGCTTGTCTGTGAAGGGGATTCGGACTACTCAGTACAGTGGTGCCTCACTTAACAATTTTAATTGGTTCAAAAAAAAAACATCGCTATGTTAAAACATCGTTAAGCGAAACACCATTTCCCATAGAGATGCATTGAAAACCGGATAATCTGTTCCAATTCAACGGATTACCATCCTTAAGCGAAAATCCCCACAGGAAAAAAACGTTAAGCGAAACCCATTGAAATGCATTGAAGCCTATTTCAATGGGGGGAGAAATTCACAAAAATTTCAAAAAGACTCAGAACAAAGCCAAATTAAGTTAACGAAGGTTTAATTAGGTGCACTAATGATTCCAAGCATTTTAAACATTTTAGAATATTTTAAAAATAGCAAAAACGGGGCTGTAAAAAAAACGTTAAGTGAAACAAGGGGACCTAAAACTGTCATCGTTAAGTGAAGCATGGTCCCAAAATCGTTAAGCGAAAATCGCCCATAGGGAAAATCATTAAGTGAAGCACAAGATCACTCCGAAAAAGCCATCGTTAAGTGAATTTTTCGTTGTACGAAGCAATCGTTAAGCGAGGCACCACTTTATATGGTCATTGCATTTTTGTTCTCTAAGAAAGGCTGTTAGACTGAGAGACTGGTGTCCAGATTGGATAAACTGTGGCCTAAGAGTCCTATAAAATTTTTTAGGCCTTCCGTTGGGGGGGGGAGGGGGAATAAGAAGTCTTTTTTTTCACAACTGGCATTATTTCAAAAAGGGTTAACTTTAGAATAAAACTAAACAATCCTTGACAGTCAGATCAGAATTTACCTATCAAGCTGTTAAGTCTTTACATCTTTGTAATGATTCCAGGCAGTGTCAACGTGTCTAATTTTACAAGCTTTATTTCTTTACATTGCTCTATGTTCCATAAAGACAAAAATAATTCAGAGTTTGAAAAAAATCCCAAAGTCTTATACCTATGAAAAAAATGTAGTCAGAAATACTTAACAATAAGTGAAAACTAAACTTAAGTTATAGGCAAATACTTAAGGTGGACTTCAATTAAAAATATAGGGGCAAAAATTCAATAAAATCTTGAAAAGGATATTTTAAGTTACATTTAAAAATGCAAGAATTTATAGCTTAAAAAGGCACATTTAAAAAACAAAAGATAGAATACATTTCTTAAAATATTAAATTCCTTAAAAGTAAGAATATATAAAAAGAAAACTCTTGACTTTCAAGCATATTAAAATCACACAGAGAAAAGTTCATGGTGTTTGCTGGGTGACCAAGGGCCACACACCTCCATAAATACTCGATTCTCTCTTCTCATTTCTCTTTAATTTATTTTTACTCTGTTTTCTTGGTTTCCACATTTTCATTTGTAGATTTATGTAACTATGTGTTTTTATTAATTGTTTGTATTATATTGGAAGCCGTTCAGAGTGGTCGCATAGACCAGATGGGCGGGATACAAATCAAATCAAATCAAAACAAACAAACAAACAAACAAACAAATAAATAAATAAATAAATAAATGAATATTCATGTAGCACCACAGGAGTGAACGATCAGTGTGGCTTTCCCTCCATAGATGCAAACTAGCACAAGACTGGTTCGGCTGGGTTAGCATTTAAAATTTGAACTGGCAAGTTGCTGACCCTTGGTTACCCAGTAAGCACCATGGCTGAATTTGAGATTTTAACTCGGTTCTTTCCAGTTCTGGTTCAACACTAAATCACTAAACCATGCTAGAAGAGAAGGTAGTAGAATTGGTAACATTGGTCAGTCACTCAAAATGTCAGTCTGCTGACCTAATATGTTTCTTATTCTTAATGTGTTTTCAGAGAACAAGCACCTTTAAAATAATGTAATTTTTTTATTGCCTTCAAAAGGTAGCTCATACCTATTTCATTTCTTGAGCACTCTGGAAAATGGATACTGTGAAGTCATTGGAGACATTTAAAAGTGCTCCTTTGAAGATTTTTTAAATCTTTATTTGTTGGAAAGGAAGAATATCTTAGGAAATATATTGACACAGCAGTTCTTCTGTTCCAGTTCCAGCTTTAAAGCTGTCCCACTGTTCCTTACTGGTGTGGAGGTCAGTCTTCCCTTGATGGAGCATGTGACTCCTTGTTACAGGTTTCAGCTACAGCCAGGATATTGTGCCAACTTGTTTGTCCATCACAAGACAGCAGTTGGAGTTTCCCCTTCCATTTTTGTAGTTCCAAAGTGTTAACTGTTTCCTTTTCTTAAAAGTAACAAACGGGGTATGTGAAGTGTTTTAAAGATGAAGTACTATTTTTGCCCCTACAGTAAGAAAATAAGGAGCATTACTGTGGGAGTGGGGCAGGCCTTTGTAAGGAAAGAATAACTAGTATGTGCTCTTCAGGTAGGTTGTAGCTGCCAAAAGACAGTCAAATCACAAAGCAGCCAATGTATTCCTTCTGTGTCCCTTTAAGAGATATGAAGGTCCTGTGGAAAATTTGTCAGAAGAACAAGAGAATGCTTTTGATTGGGATGAGGGGGATTGGGATTTTTCCAGTGGAAAAATTGGAAAGTTGGGGGGGAAACCCTCTCCAATATGACAAACAACAGAATTGTTACTACAGAATGAAGCTTTTTATGCTCTTAAAGCAATAAAATGCAACAGACCCTACAGTTGCTACTTAAGTGCATCTTGGAAGATAATGCTTGTATACTCATGGGAGTTGTTGTTAGTCCACCCCTGTAAGTATAATACTATAAATGGGGGGCTGATTCCTGAAAACCTTTCATGCCTTAAAATGAACATAAATGGAAAATAAATAAATCTCAAGTTTATATAATTTTTAGGGGGAAATATTTAGCATTTAAGTAAACACCAACTTTTCAATGTGCGGATTTGAACTTGAATGCAAAGTCATTCACTTTCATCTCCAACTCACGCTGATTCATAATTTCATGCATCATGGCCAAAGTGATGGGGTTAGGGGGAGGGACAGGGTTTCTCTTAATATCTTCTGTGCTCTAACATGGTGCTCTTCTCAGTTGTGTTCTGTTGCTTTGAAGCATGGCTGCACACCATGTCAGCTGATTCAGTCTTCTTGTATACTAATTATAGTGGACTGATCCGTCTTGACAGGTTTTGGACATTACTAGGGGTTGTTGTTCTTAAGTCATGCCTGACTATTTGTGAACCTGTGGACCAGAGCACGCCAGGCCCTCCTGTCTTCCACTGCTTCCCAGAGTTTGGTCAAATTCATGTTGGTAGCTTCGATGACACTGTCCAGCCATCTCGTCCTCTGTTACTAGGAATATCACCCACTATTAGAAGAGTTGCAAAAGTGTGAGAGGGTCACATGGTAAGTTGTAAGTTGAAAGCCTACTGTAAGTTTAGGATTCATGTAAAAGACAGGTA